AGGTATTAAATATCCTCGAGAGGAGGAAAGACCTGAAACAAGCTAAAAAAAACAAAAAAACAACGTAGTACAGTCAATAAAAATGCATTTCAAAAACCAAGAAGAGTTCACTGAAAATGGCTCAAAATGGTAACTTGATGGTGAAATAAAGGTGACCCTTTCACACAAGCAGTACCTCTGGTTTAGTTTTCTTCAAAAAAATACAACTGCCTATAAGCTGTCTACACAAAACACAAGCGAGCAGCACAGGTATACACCAGGCCTTAAAAAAAAAGGAGAAAGGGGACAATTCACAGGTTTTATATACTGCATATACAGTATGTTGATCCCCGAATGATGAGAAAAGTCCATCCTCTCCGTTGTTTGCCTGCTCCACTTATCAGAAAATATGTGCTTAAACAGGCCATTTGGAGATTTTCCCTTCACGACATCACAAAGGGCATGATTTGCTCTAAGCTTTTTAAAGGCTTTATAAGCGATTTTTTGATCCGACAAATGTCGCCCTTGAGCACCAGCATGAAACCAAAGCAATTTGCGGCGCATTGTTTTGTTAGCATGCTAATGCTAGCAATCTTTATTATGCTCGTATCTTCACACTGCATGTAAATTTACCCGAAATGAGCGTGATCTAGAAACACAGTTAAGCAGTGAGAATATTAAGTTTTTCTTCTTTTCTCTAGTCCCTCAATTAAACAACTTTTATACACGAGGGGAGGAGTCGGCCGGCCATCCCGGCGATGTAAACATACTGAAGATATGACTCGGAAAACTTGGAAAGCATCACAGACAGTGGGACTCGGGTGTTACACCCATTGTAGACAGTCATGACTCACAGAGTTATTTTTAGAGGATATATTTGATTTCTATTATATTTAAGTGTGAAAAATCACATAAAGCCTTTAAAGAGTTGACTGAAGGTCAAGGGAGGTGGTGAATTAAATGTTATATGATCCTGTGGATTTCTGGACCACTAGTGTCAATGCAGAGCTGTATTTTTGTGTACAGGTGACCATATTCTGACTATTTGGGCACATGAAAGAATAAGGAGGGAGTTTGCTCTCAGACTTCCCAGTAAAGGGAGTAAAAATTGAAATAGATTTTTGGGAAGGAACTTCAGTAAAAAAGTATCTAATATTTAATATCCATGAACAAACAACACCCGATTACAGATTTTACAGAAAAGCTTTTCACCAGCAGTTTGTCAAATAAATCCTTCCTCATCCCGGGCAACTTGTTAAGTCCATCATGTGAACCGTAAAAGGGGCTCTCTACCAATCAAAGAAACATGGCATTCAAACAGCCCCCTCCAGAGCCTGTTTCCTTGATCTTAATTTAAGATAGAATACATGGTGAACACTGGCTCAGGGCATGGGAGGCACACGCTATTGATCAATTTTTCATTGCCGTTCTTTTAAAACACCAAGGACATGTGCCACATCAAATCTGCACAACCCCTCAGCACCCAGTTTAATAGCTTGCTTGAAACAAAACAGTCTTTTGAGGAGTGTGTTTTTAAAAGTTAGAGCAGTGAAAGGTAGAGGGTGGGCGTACATTTCCTGTCAGACTCACCACATTTCTTTTTCTTCTGTATAAAGGTCCTTCGTAAGCACTCCTGGCATAGTGAGCAGGCACTTGATTGGAGTTAAAGAGGAGCCAGATGTCTGCATGTCCTCATATCTCTGCAACTTTCTCTTTCTGTCACCCTCGTTTTCCATCTGGATGCTTTGCAGCCCCCTGGCCTTATCTTTAACTACTTGTTAAGGCTATCCTTCATTCAGTAAACTCTCAGCCGTTACAAAAATATGAGAGCAAGAGCACAGGTAATTCAATCTGGCTGCAGACAATATCAACCAATGAAAACAACACAAGCAAAATACTAACAAGGCCATTGATTTAATTGGGGTCATTTATGAAAATTTGGATTATAGTTACTAAAATGTGAGGAATTTTCTTCTTTCGTTCTGTTTTGTGATAGTAAATTAAATAGCTGGGGGTTTTGTCTGTAGGTCAAACAAAAGATTGAAAATGTGTTTTTTTGACTAAATATATTGGATAGGAATTTGTAATTTAGGGCTAAAAAATTGTTTTCACAAAAAAAAAAAAACAATAACTAGAAGGTCAAATAGAAAAAGGAGGGACACAAATACCTTTCATTGATTGCAGGTAAATAACATTCTTCATCTTTACTTGATAATGAGAAAAACATTTAGTGCTCAAGGTTTGTCCAAACGCTTTGCTTGTAAAACACAAAATTTTTATATATATATAACCACAAAGAGCCCTTTCACTTAGACTCAACTGTGACAAATGAAAGACCTTGTAGTTGCTGTAAGCTGCATTCAATAACACATAAATACTACATTTTAGATGTTATCTTAATGATTTTTTTTTCTCATTATTGCTGCCGCATGTCAAGTTTTGAGCCCTGAATTGCAAGCCATAGTTTTAAATTTGGATGCATTGTCGCCCACACGGCCTCACACCTTGTTTGTGTTTTCAATGTGTAGAATTGAAAAATTTAATATGTCTGCTTGAAAAATTAAACTCTTCCTCTATTAAACTAGGTCGGCTAGAGTTCAGCCAATGCAACCTGGTCTGATTTGTTAGGTCACGTCCACATACACAGAGATCTACTTTAACACAAACAAGCTAACCATCACTGTCTGACATCTCTGACCAGCATGTTACCATGGAAATAAGTAGTCATCTGTCCAGTCACACAGATATTGATCACCTTCCTGTGCTCTGTCCATCAACACACACCCTTTTCGTCTCGCTCATGTGCACTCTCACTCTGCTAGTCTCAGCAGCGTTTCTCTCTGAGCTGCAGAGCCTGTCAATGGCAGAGCACAGAGATGGAAGTCTACTTTCACAGTAACACTCCAGGAGCCACTGGTGGGTTGTTACAACACGACCCTTGACTTGTGATGTAAATCAGGCCAATTTTTGCAAAGATTCATGACATGGAGCCAGCATGGTGTTCAATGGGCACAGTGGCAACACATTGCAGACGAAAAGGTGTCTGGTCCAGGCTGGACTTTTGGAGTGTACCTGCAGCCATGATGTTACCTGGGTGTGTGTTCTGCTCATTTTCCCCTCAATCCTGCTTAAGGAGGTGGGGAGAGCATGTGAGTCTTAGTGTTGCACATTTACACGCTGGTCAAACTGGATTAGAGCCAATTCACACAGTCCTCTATTCCCACCTCATTCTGTAGTGTGAGAGTGGAAAGTGCCAGAGAGATTTCATGCCGGAGTTACACTGGTGTGTTCCCTATAGACAATCCGAACCAACACTCTCCTCCCAGCACATCTGAGAGCGCTCTATCCCTCAGACGCACGCTGACAGCGTGAAAATGGGAATCAGCCAGCAAAGCAGGGAGCTAACTGTTGCCCACGTTTGGCTAACCAGGCTAAATGCTCTGTTTTATTTTCCTCTTTTAGTGGTGCTTGCAAGAATGGCAGCTCATGGCTTTCAATATGGTAGCCATATCTGTACTCCAGTGCTCCAGAAGTTGCAGAGGCAGATGTCAGGTCAAATGCTTTGGTATGCTCTTGAGTTTGAAAAAACTTCTTGATAGCCAGGGTCTGGGGCATCTTTTCACACGGTTTGCAGAAACTTCTGAAAGTAGGCCTCCACATCTCGGATGAGTGGTCCTAATACAAGCTGGGGTAATTCTGTCATATTCCATTTACTGAACACAATGTGGCCACTGCTCCCCATCGAGAGCTACTCCATACACGTCCACACTGGCAAAGCCGAAAGGCCTGCTCTTCCCACAGAAATAACCAGGCACAAAGAAGAGTTTGACAAAGAAGGAGGGAACTCAATCGATACAAAACGTCTCTGTAAAATGCCTCAAAGAGCGAGGTTTGTCTGAGGGCACCGGCAGAGCAGAGGCCAGGTCACAGTGTGCTGCTTTACCTTGCCTGTGTTACTGTTCAGCTTTACAGTTTTCTTAATCCTTACGCAGCTCTCAAAAGGCAACAGAATGCCATTTGAAGTGACAATTCAGCATTTGCTAAACCAATACCAGAGTGGTGCTTTTTTTTTCTCTCTCCGAAAACCACAAAAAAAAAATCCAACCTCAAAAGCAATAGGGTGCCACTTTATGGGTTCTAGAGAAAGAAGAATAAGCAATTGGCATGACATTAAAAAAGAAGAACCAATATATTGATGATTGAATTTGTTGATGGGCCTTTTGGAAAGTCGAAAGAGATTAGGTTAAACAACAGCAACAACAAAAAGAATACACATCTGTAAGAAACAGCCTTGTTATACACTTTCTTTCGAACAGAAACCGAGTTGTTGACAGCCGCTTACAACATGTATCCATGATTACTTCCTCTTAACTCTGGTCCAATATGTCTGTTTGAACGCAGGACAAAATGAGTTGATATCTTTTTCATGGTTCAGTAGCTTCCTTGTTTGTATCCACAGCATTTCTTTCAATGTGTGCATAAATAAGTGGGTGCTTATAGCATTATTAAGTGATATTCTCGGTGTGTGTTGTTACTGAGAAACTGAATAAACACAGTTAAACCATTTAGTGCATGATGTTCTGAAAAACAGATTACCCTGCAGATGATGAGTAGTATGAGTAAAAGCTAACGCTCTTTGTTGCTATTACAATATTCAAATGCTAATAGTTGTTACACTGGGATCTCTCTTAAAAGGGGAAACAGCTAAAACTAACAGAAAAAGGCCTCCCGGTTCATTTTCAGGCTGCATAATTTAAAAATCCCTCATTTGAAAGTGCTCACACTTTGTTTGCTCATTCATAGCCTTTCCAAATTACAGGCCATTAGCAATACATGGTCTGAAATGTTTTAAAAATCAAAGTCATAAAAAAGGACCTCACTTGCTGGTCATTCTTCCAAGTCAAAAGATACATTTCTGATTGTGCATGTGTGGTTTGTGAGTGTGAGTATGAGTTTGGGAGGGGATACAGATACACAGGAGGAACAAATACAGAAGCCAAATAAGTAATGGGTATACTTACCGGAACTTTGCTCCCAGTTATCTGCATGCAGCGATCAGCGGAGAAGGTTAATGTGCAAAAAGACACAAACAGCACAATTATTAGTAGGCCAGAGAATCCTCTCCATTACAACTTGAGGCTTTGGCGTAACTTGCGTTACATAACACACATCCTATACACAGTTATAGCACACACTGTATGACTAACACTTTTAAAGCAAACATGGAAACTTTCAAATTAAGGGCATGTACTCAAGATAATGTCTGTTTGATAGCTGTCCATTATAAATAGTTGTGAAGTCAGATAACGTACACTGCAGATGAACTCAAGTATCAAGAGAAAATAATTTGCAATAGATGTAAATAACAAATAGGATGTTAGAGCCTGCATCAACAACTGTGGAAATAAACTTCTCTTTTAGACAGGACAAATAGCCCACAAGGGATTTATCTAATGATCAACAAGGGGAAATGTGATATACCTTGTTACTGACTAACTGCTAAAGGAAAAAGAGAACAGTGGCTGTTGTGTACAAACAGGGTATCGCTCGCTAGCTCGGGCAGATATCAATCAGCTGCCATTATCGTTGGGCTTCAGGTGTCAACTTTGTGTGGCAGAGCTACCCTGAGCACATGCAGTCAGCACCACTCTTGGAGTTTAACCTTGTTATCTGTCAATAGTGGCAGGCAGCAGAAGTGTTTTTTATTACTGCAACTGTGTGGCTTGTTTCACAGCAGGAGGGTGTCTGTCAGCCGAGTAAATGAATTCTATACTGTGGCTGAGCTCTTGTTTCTCTGCAATGTGTTCCTGGAGGAATGCATTTTGATTGCAGGAAGTTTGCAGGACTCACTATTCTTCTTGTCTTTTCTCCCCGTCTTTCTCTCCCGCCCCTCCCCGTCCTTCTTTCTACTCTTCTAATCTCCCTTTCCATTTCTTTTATTGTCACTCTCAAACTCTCCAAGTCGGTGGCCATTTGATGCTTGATTTCCTCGCTTCATCCCTCTGCCGAGAGTTTATTGTAGTCTTAAAGTCCGTTTTTTTTAAGTGTGCCGCCACCTGATCACACACTTTCTAATCTTATGGTGTGTTTGCAGCATGTCGCCGACTAACACTGGGGGAACATTTTATCTGAATAATGCAGACTAGACACCTTGAAATGAGTCCTATTGACTTACCTCACAGCTGAGGTGCTTTCCACAGATGTTGATGCTTGCAACAATGATTCATCAGTTCTTATCTTGTTTCAGAGTAGCATGACCAAAATAACAGACAGACAGAATCTTGTGTGTACACAAGTCTAGGAGGAGCTTGAGGGGGGGGAAAGTTCAGTTCCTACAACAAGTTGGTGTTTTCAATACAAAGGACGTCTTTCAGATCAGACCCCAAATTATCCTTTAAGTATTTGCATCTCCTGTACTATCGCCTAAATTAATTAATTTAATATTTGCATACAACACATTATGAGTATGATAAGAAGAGGCCTCGAAGTTATAGGTAAACATCATTCCACATGTAAGGAATGAAGGTTTCTTATTGGTGGTAAAAATTACCAGACAAACCAATAGACTGTATGAATTAAACTTTCAAAAATGTACACTGAACATTCCCCCTTTACAAGGTCCTACCATCACATCCGCCTCTAAATATGAGACACAGCACCTTTGAAATGAAACAAGACAACTTTAAAAGAGACTCGTACTCTGATTAAAAAAGGTCATTGTGTTAGTGTTCAAAGGAGTTTGGGAAGTTTTAATGATGTTGGCATACATTTAGAGGAAAAAAGGAAATGAAGTGAGGTGAGAGAGAAAGGCACATGTTCATGCAAAGCTGATGGTCAAGGACATCCATAGACGCGCTACTGCACAAGCAAAGCTGGCTTCCATTGAAACAGTTCATATACAAATGTACAGTACCAATGTACAATCCCACACTGAAAAGAAAAGCACTGAACAAAGTTATAATGAGCCTTTTCTTCTCTCAAGGATCTTTTAAAGCCATGTATCGTAATAGAAACGGCCTTTTTTTGTAAATGTATAGACAGAAAAAATAAGGTTGCCTTGTTGCCCAGTTGAGCAGGCCTGAAGAAAGTGATGAGCAAAAGGACACAGAGAACTTGGGAAAGATAATTTTTCCAACACTATTTTAAGTTGTTTTAACTTCTAACTCCAAATTGCTGAAAACCTGCATGCTTTGCATTAGCAGCATGTTAAACAAAGAAAGAGGGATTTTCATATTTAAAGGAAGAATTTGCAACATTTAACACATAGATTTAGCAGAAATCAAGTATATCCTCTGTAAATGTCTCTCTGAGTCATGGCTGTCTACAATGAGTGAAATGCGTGCGCTGTATAGTTTTCTGAGCCGTGTTTGTATCATGTTTACATGGACGGGACGGCCTCGTGTATAAAAGCTGTTTTAGTTGAGGACTAGTGAAAAGAACAATAACACAGCCTACTCTCTGATTATTTAGATGTCATGTAAGTGTCTTTAGAGCTCGGCCATTCAGTGTCAATTTATGTGCGATATGAAGCTACAAGCAAACTAAAGTGTGCTAACATTAGCATGCTAACACAACAATGTAGGCCACAGGTGATTGCAGCTCCAATTTTCTCCCTTGCTTGCGCTTAATGGTTCTTAGTTATGGTGCGTTCTAATTGATAACTCGTTCGTCTGAACTCGAGTGGAGAGGGGTTGGAGGTGTGCCGCTGGAGGAGAGCGGAGGCTTCAGAATAGCGGAGGTGTGGCCAAACAGCAGTTTGTTTTGGTTTCATGCTGGTGCTCAAGGGCGTCATCTACTGGATGAAAAAGTTGCACATTCTTCCTTTAAATAAACAAATGTGAGATGATGTTTCGTAATTCCATGGCTTTTAAAATATAGGTTTACCAAAGCTTAAGACCAATATTTAAAAAAATGTCTACGTTGACAAATGTTCTATTTGAACCCCATAATGCCGTCGAGAAAAATAGCACAAACATGAAATTGAGATGTATGTTTGTGAAGCTTTACCAAAGCCCCAAAAACTGCAATCCCATTATACACATTCATTAGAAAGAGTCACGTTAACAGTGAAGGCACCACTGGAAACAAAAGGACACCCCAACATGTCAAAAAAGCACCACTCCTACATCCTTCATCACCATTTACAATGCAACATTGTGTCATTTAGTGCACACTGCATGCCCATCAGAAACATGCATAAGCTCCAGATAACCCTTAACCCATAGAGAGAAAACAACATTTTAGTGGTAGGATTATTCAGCACATGTAGACTCATTAATTTGTTCTTTAAAGGGCAAATAAATGACAAGTTTGTGACAAACACTGATTTTGTGATCTAAATTTAAAGAGAAGTTATATTATATGTTGACTCATTGTAAGTGTAAGTATTCTGGGTTTAAAGTAGGCCTATTTAGTCACTGTGATGAGGATTCTCTTCACGTTAACAATCAATAGGAACCCAAATAACACTACGCTAAACACTACAGGGCACAGGCTGACTATGATGCAGATTATTAAACACTCTCAGGAGCTGCAGGACGATCAGCTCAAGCATCAGCTTCAATGCTATAAATATCTTTGTTAGCTAAAAAAGGGACCAGAGGACATCAATTAATTAAGACACAAGTCAAATGTTCTAAATATACTCTATTAGGTATGAAAGTATTGCATTTTTTTTTTTAAGGTTTTATTTAAGTACTTTGGGGTTTCTATGCTTTTATTTAGAGATAGGTCGGAGTCAGAAACAGGGGAGAGAGAGTGGGGAACGACATGCGGGAAAGGAGCCACGGTCGGAGTTGAACCAGAGCTGCCCGCTTGGAGAACTAGCCTCTGTAAATGGGGCGTGCGTACTAACCACTACGCTACCAGCCCCCGTAGTATAGATGTTTTTAATCAAAAACTAAATTAAAACTACTTAAAGATCAACTGCAAGTGGTTTCGTTATCATTCTTGATGAATTTATAAAATTAAGAAATTAGGTTGTCTCATTTTTAAATGAACTAAAATACATGGACACTTTTAAAGCGATTCTTAAAATAAGTTTATCATGTTTGATATACTTTTAGAAATTAACACCAAGGGCTAAATCAAACAAGGAGATGTATTTTGTAGCAGTGTCAGATTATCGTCAGAAAAATACACAAGTGCAACCCTTCACCATAAAGTCCTTCCTAGGTTGTCTAGAGCACTCATTTATTTCAGTATTTGACACAGTGTGAGCAAGTAAAGGCACTGTAGTGTAACAGTATGAGCACTTGCATGAATCTGTGTCTGCACACATACATCAACACTGACATCCAGCCTTCCCCCTCCTCCAGTCCTATTAAATGTGATAGCAGGGTGCTGACAGATATCACATTTAGTCCTCTGTCCTTTGACTACGTAGATTACGTTATTCATTTGAATAAAATATCAGTGCTCACAAAGCATAATGGGCCCTGTGAGGAATTCAATCATCTCGGATAATCATCATTATCAATAATGCCAGTTAATTACCATAACAATGAGGAAGGTAATAAATGATGATGTCAAGAGAGAGAGAGCTACCAGGTTCGGGAAGCAATGGGGGAAGAAATCACTTCTTCTTTTTTTTTCCTTCAGAGACTCTGATGTGAATCTCACCTCACTGGGGTGGTCATAACTTCAGAGGAGGATGAGAATTCATCAGACATTTATGGTCAGGATACTTTTACCTTTGAATGCTGTTTATGGTTTAAAGTTATGATCAAGTTTTACACTTGTCTACCTGGATGAGGAGCAAAATCCTAAGCAAATTCTCAATACTTAACAGAAGAATGTGCGATATTTTACACATAAATATATCAGAAATCCAGTATATCCTGTGTAAATGTCTCTCTAAGTCATGACTGTCTACAATGAGTGACAAGCCACAAGATGTTGTCGCGCTGTGTTTAAATTATGTTTACATGGACAGGACAAAAGCTGTTTAGTCAAGGACTACAGAAAAGAAGAACACAGCCTACTCAATGCTTATTTGGATGTCACAAACAGTAACTGTAGTTCATTAGCCTGCTAACACAACAATGCAGGCCACAGGCAATTGCAGCTCAAGCAAAGGACAATTTTGTCCGTCAGTGCTTAATAATGGTGCATTCTAATTCATAACTCCTCAAGTGGGGAAGGGTTGGAGGTGTGACCCTGGAGGAGAGCGGAGGCTTCAGAATAGCGGAGGTGTCGCAGAACAGCAGTTTGTTTTGTTTTAGTGCTCGTGCTCAAGGGTGAAATCTACTAGATCAAAAAGTGGCACATGCTTCCTGTAAGAGTGCAAACACTTGTTGACTTGTTTTGATAAATGAATGAAGCAGCTGGCTACAATATAGGAAATACAGATTAAAGATTTAGCACAGGCACGTATAAACATAGGCTTCAAATCTTGCTTTTCCTCACATTTTAATGAAGTATAATTTGAATCTAATTCTAATGTTGAGCCAAAATGTCGGGTGAACCTGGTTTCATAAACTGGTTTCAAAAACAATGACTCAAGGCAACCGCTGGGCAAAAAAATGAAATAAAATAAAAACCTCCCATGCAAGACCACACCTCCACAACAAACAATTTGCATGCCATCCACCTAGAATTGAGTGAGTAAGAGACAACAATTTTATGCCATGAGCCTACAGCTGCTGATTAAAAAGGCAAACAGGTGAAAAAAAAAAAACATGAATCAAAATTGCAATCAAAGATGTGTGGCTCAGGCATGAAGAGATGAGAGAGAGAGAGAGAGAGAGAGATGATGTCAGTGAGAGTGTGCAGCGACGGATGACCAAGCAAGCCGTAAAAAGCAGAGAATAAGGTTAAACTCTTTCTGGAGAGTCGTGTGGAGTGTCATCATACTTCAGCTCATCCACTACAATTATACAGTACATACTCTTCAGTGTGGAGAGAAGGAGCACTCAAGGTTTACACTCTCACTTACAGATTTGGCAGTGGCTGAGATGTACTGGACCACCATCTCGCGTTTGGTGCTCAAGTCCTTTCCGCGCAGTGGGGCTTTGCGTTCCTCGTTCAGGTTCATGTCCTCCTGCAAAACCCAAAGACAGCGATGAGACATTGAATGTGACTGTGAACCCTGGGTGCGACTGAATCTATACAGATGTAGATACAACTTGATACAGTAGTTCAGAAAACACTTTAAAGGTTGCTAAGAATAATTCTTAGTTGAGTAAGCACTCTTATTGTTTGCTAACGAGATCAAAAGGGCCAACATTTATATCCAAATAAAGTATTAAAAACACCAACAAACCTTCAAATTTATTATTTACAGCACAACATTTACTTAGACCTGCTTCAGAAAAGTAATACTTTCATTCCCACTGTTACCCTTTTTCATCAGATCCTGTCCTTCTGCAGTTGAATACATTTATTTTTCCATTCATGTGTCTCTGTCAAAGTCACGAGGTGCAGCAACAGGTAATAATAGCAGCAATAATTAGTCCTTGAAACGAAAGCAGCAAGGCTAAAGCAATAAAAACTGTACCCCCCCCTCCGCCCCAACTCCGAGCAAGAGAGCAAATTCGAACAACAGTGCTTCTATTGAGGCCATGCAATCACATCAGATAGGCTGGATAGGCAGTATCTGAGCGTTATTGGCAGTATTATCTTCATGCTACTTTAATTCTGCATCACAAAAGAGGTCTTTCATGTGAGACACATCAGGGGATGGAGCGATGGCCGGACAGAGCACTAAAAGCTAGGGAATGACATGATGATTAGAATGGAGGGGGATGTTTATCAGACGCACTCTCACTCACAAAGAGACAGCGAGAATGAACAGAGCGAAGAAGAAAAACAACAACATCCTCCTCAGGGTTACAGGATGGAGGACTTTAAAAGTTGTGGAGCCATGCTGCCCTCTGCTGGAGAATGTAGGAAGTCATGTGTTTGGTTCAATCGAATGTGGCAGTGACTCCTCTCCAATCTGATTTATTGTTAAATTCTGCTAATAAATTAAGCTTGTCTCGTCTAAAAAAAAAGAACGCTGCGATACAAAGGTTTGACTACCTTTCCACAGGTAATCTGATTCCGACAGTTTTGCTTCATTTGTCAGTGAAGCATGGACAGGAATCCCATCCAGGGGCGCCGTGACCTACATTCCTTCGACTACATTTCCTCTGGTAAATACCCTCAGAGCTCAAAAACCATTAACATCCTTTTTTTTTGTGGGACAGGGAGAAAAAATGTGTTTGAAAGTTTTACAAAGGCCATTTTTTTCACCCAAGGAAACCAGCGGTCTTTTAATTAATCTTTGAACCCTGCTAATTTATCTGTTTAATTGGCATTCAATAAACGAGGCAAAAAGTGGCAGGGTGAGTATGGTGTGTGGGGGGGGGGGGGGAGTAGGCCTGCGGGATGCTTGTCAGGGGGCAAAACGGGGGAATGAGTCCTCCATGTTTAGTCTCCAAAATGATTAATGGTTTTTTATTAATTATATCCTCACCGGCTTCATGAAAAGAGTCCCAGGATATCTTCGATTATATGCTGCTGGTGCGACTGAAATCTTGTATCAGTGACGGTGGAGCAACCAGGAAATATTTCTTGATATTTTTGTCATGAGCCCTACACGGAGTTTTCTGGTGCTAAACAGTCAGAACTTGAAATGCTGATGCCACAATAATGTCATTTTGCAACACAAATCAAGCATCATGGGCAGGAGTTCAGGGACATTTGGATTTGGATTGCAACAACAGCCGAGGTTAATTAGCTATCTTTCTGCTGCAAAACAAACAGCCTAATCCAGAGTGCCACAGGCTGCAAATCACAGAGAAGCGCAATTAAATGTAGGCCCGAAACTGAAATGGATATGAGGTAGACACCCTATGTGGGGAAAAGTCGCTCTAAGAAAAGCAGAAACTGTACAAAAAAATATTTCGATTCAACTGTGACAAATGGATTATTTTTGTCCACTACCCTTGAGTCTGATCCATGTGTGCGCGGACAGACACAGTAACTCTCCTGTGGGCTGGTTTTAATGTCCTGGTGCAGAGTGTAACTGCTGAGGGATCACATAGGAGCTTATTACGAGGAGTGTTCATCCTGACAAAGGCGCAGAGAGAGAGGCACATAAACCCCCCCCCCCCCACAAAACTGGCCACAGCAGCACTGCAATGTGACATGCTCTGTCTCTGTAGGCACCAAACACTGCTCTTAACTTAGTGAGGCAGTCTAAAGATTGCAGGGACAAACTGGTACTGGAATCAGACCGATAGAATTTATTTTAAGTAAGGATGTTCGCATGTTTATACATGTGCAAAAGCACAAAGTTGGGAAATAGTGCCATGTCTGTTATGGCTTAATCAGTTAGAGGACTTTTAAGATGACTTTAAGCTCTGAAATGCTGCAACTGCTTTCACAAAGTCATCTCATCAGATTTTTTTTTTTTTTTTTTTTTTAACTCATTTCAAATGATTTTGTGTGCAACAGTGCTCCTGGAGTCTTCTTCTCCTACACAGCTGCCTCCTTACTGAGATGTAAATACCAGATATCTCATCAGCGGATATGCTGCTGTGCATTTTGATGAGAGGGGCTAAGAATTCCAGCTGTGCATATCCCGAGGAATCCAACGACAGCAGACGCAGACTGAAGATGTGTACTACGCCCTTTTAAAAGCAGTGCTGAAAGTCAATGTGTTTTGATGCTTTTAAACTTTCCTGTAGTTTAGTTAGTGTAACTTAATGGTTAGCTTCATAAACTCTGGAAAGGGAAAAAAAAAAAAACTGGAAAGAGCTCATTTGGTTTTCCTCCAAACTGACTGTTGAGTGTTTCTCCTCATATTTTCTCTGCTCCCTTTGATGACCTTTCAGTAATAGGCTATGTGCTTTTGAGGCTTTGAGGAACACAGTGTAAACCACTTTGCAGAGAGAAAATATTTCCACTTTCTCCTAGTCATTAATGCACAGTATGGGGTCTCAATAATATGGCATGGGTCATCGCTTCATTTGAAGCAGGCTGGACATCTAAGGCTACAGCATGTAGCGCCATGAAAACAAATCAATAACAGAAGGGGCGTAATTACAAGAAAAGCACACTACAATGAATGTGTGTGTATGACATAAAGAAAGAACTGACAAAGACAGTTAGACACTTAAGAGAGGCTTCTATCATCTGGAGAAACCAACCACCACTGCTGTTTCTGGGTTTGCTGCATCAAAGCAGAAAAAAGTTTACGGACCATGGGAGCAACTAGTGGTGGCTTCAAAAGTATAAGTAAATAACCCCTTTCTTTTTTTGATTTCATTATTGTAATTACACTTCCCAACCCAAAGAGTCAAAGCCTGTCAAGTGTCAGACCAGCAAAAATGCCTTCTGTGCCGTCTGTCACTGAGCAAATTGAAGCCTGGGTTTAATGTCACGCCGCTCTGAGCACAAACATAGTAATTGAGAGGTGAACTGAGTGACAGGGATGAGCACCCAGGCAAAAAAAAAAAAAAACACAGAGGGTTAGCCTGATGAAAACCAGGAGCACTGGTCGCATTTCTCTGGCCCTGGCAATAAAGACCATTGTATGAGAAAAAAGGAAAGGCAGGCAGCGCACCATGCACACACGCACACACACACACACACACACACACACACACACACACACTCAGAGACATTATCCACAATAGTACACACGACCTATGCAATGAAGCCAGAGTAATTCCGCTCCTCACTTCAAAGAGATGGGTTGAGAGCTTTTTCTTAGATTTCAATCCTGCAGTACATAAGGCCAAAAATGCATTTCAATGGAGAAAATCACAAGTGTGACAGAGGTTTGACCCCACAGATGGGTGTGAAGTGAATTTCAAAATTTGGTGTTCGTCTGACAGTGGCCAGGGGAATACGTAGATGGAGCTTTACCTCACAAAAGGCTTCACAACTCAATGCAAAATGTCCTCATCTTTACCACAAATACTTACTTTGAAAAGTCTGTTTTGGATCCATTAAATGAATACAAAAGAATCAACTGCTTAGTAAACTGCTGTAGTATTGCACACTCCAACAATTAAACTTCACATTATTCAATTTATAATTTTTTTTTTTTATATACTAAATACTAAATGAGAGTTATGGTCACTGCTTTCTGGCAATTCTGCTAAAACTAGGAGTTAGGCACCGTTTCCATATTGCTTTTTTTCTGAGCGCCTGCGTCTTTTTATAATTGTTTTTAATGAGAAGGGAGCGTTCGCAGCAGCAGACGGCCACCAGGAGAAAAAGTGCAGCGACACAGCGTCTTTTTTTTAAGAGCGCTCCGCCTTTCTTGTGCGACCACTCAAGTTGAAAATCTTTCAATTTTTTCTGAAAGGTGCTGTTGGCGTCACTGGCACTCTTTTCCAGATGGATGATTTTCCCCTTATTATCTATCCTACGTGTCTTGTCTTGTACCCACATCCTCTTTGCTCCGTGTCTGATCGGGAAATAAACAATCTAAAATGAAAAACATAGAGTAAGAAGTAACAGAGTCGCTTGTCTTCTCAGCACACAAACGCTTCATGTAAGCACTCCCTAGTGCATAGCCAGCGCTTTTCTGCCAGGAAAAAACTCTAGGTGGACACGGAGCCTTAGTTGTGTTCCATCACCTTAACTTTTCTTTTCAGGTTTTTAGCCACACAAATTTACTAAAAAAAAAAAAAAAAAAATAGAAAGACCTCTTCAGAAAGAACAATAGTTTTATATGTTGGACATGAGGGGAAAAGGCACTCATGATTTCCTAAATGATGATTCCTAAATGAAAGCAAATTAATTCACTTTTTATCTACAAACGATTATTCAGTGATGTCTCTAATAACAGCTCTGAGGGTGCAGAACTACTAGAGCGCTGTTTACAGCTCTAGATGTTTACATGAACGCTCATATAGCTGGGCCTTGGATTATTTAAGAGTAAACAGATTTAAGGCTAAAGAAATGATTCATTTTGGTCAAATTTCACTGGCTTACCCAGTCACACAAACCGTAAACCATCATAGTTTGGCTGTAGACTTTAACAGGACAGATTATATAGCAGAACAACAAACAATATAAAGATGTTGTGTAGAAATAAGAGAGGTCTGAATAACAGTAATTTCGTTATCATCCTTTTTTTTTTATATGCCTGGCAAGGCTTTGTTCACTAAAAAAAATCTCATCAGCAGTAAAACAGTGACAGACCGAGCTCTGTGAGCAGTAATGTAGTGATGTAAAAAAAGTGCTTTTCAAACTTAACTTTATTACTCTTCAATCTTCTCTTCAACATTTTCAAAAGCAGCTCTGTTGCTCTTATCGTGTGCCTCTTTTTTCAAATCAGTAATATAGAACTGTTGTGAAGTGCTATGGGTGACCTCATAATGCAGGAATAGAAACACAAAGCTCACCATCATCTTCTCAAAGAGGTCAATGATCTCCTTTTCCGAGAGGTTCATGGAGCGGTCGTCGAACAGGGGCTGAGGGGCGGGCAGCTCAGCCTGGGTGGAGATGGGATCTGTCGGGTGCCCGATGAGGGGCTTTTCCTTCTTCGTCCCCGTTTTCCTAAAACTGGTAATACGATCACGCTGGGGGGGAAAAAATAAGGGTTAAAGATACTCAAGTATTGCCTTACTAACAGCCTAGAGAAGGTCATAATGAGGATGTATGTTTTCTGTTGTTGCTGATTTACACTGAAAAAAAAACATGTTCACTTAAAGGGAGTAGATTTGTCTTTACTAACTAAAAATCTACTTTCATAGTCCTTCACATCAAGAGTAGTTTCAGTAAGACACTGTTCACGACGATTTACAGTAAACAGGATCATTTCATGTTTAGGAGCTCAAACAGGGTTTCTGCCAACAATAGTGGAATAATGCTTCAGATCACCTTCATCCTTTTAATTGAAAACACAAAAATATTGGTGTAGATATAAAAACAAAGAACGTACAGTAAACATTAATTCAGATGTGGGAACATGAGGATGTAATGCTCAGGCCACTAAACAGCAATCTAACAATGAGGAAGAAGTTTAGTGGCTAATTTGGCCACATTAACATGTGAGGCCACCAGTGGGGCAAAAAGAACAAGTTTGTCCTGTAGAGGATGGAGGGGGGGTGGGGGTACGTTATTATCCACTGTTGAAGTTTTGGGATATATTGTGGAATCGTGGTCACCACGGTAACACAACTGACATGGGGCAATCCATGCAAGACTGTTAGAGCTATAATCGGACCAACATCTGCATCTCTAGAATGCTAGAAGAAGCTAAAATGAACTGCATTTCATAATGTCATGTGCATTTCTTTTTTTCCTTTTTCCTTTTTAATTGTTTAAAATTCAAAACATATACAGATGATGTTTGCAACCACTAGGAGCAAAAACACTTGTTAGTCACACTGTATGAAACATTCAGGACTTACTTACCGTCGAACACTTTGGGTTACCTGATTGACACTCATGTATGAGAATATTTTAATGAAAACAACAACTTTAGCTAACATCTGGGAGTATTGTTGTTCTATTCATCAGCTGTTGTTCATCTGATGAATGCAGGGACGTTTAGAGTGAAAGTTTTTAAAAAAATAAGTAGAAAAAACCACATGCAATGAGACTAGGTTAGTCATATTTAGTGAAATGGAATGGAGAGGACATGCTGGGATGAATAAGCATATATAAATGAAATGAAAGACAAACATGAGATGATGGCACACATGATGCCACTAGTGTCAGTTTGCTGAAATATTGCTGGATGGATCAAACATGCTGTGTGCTAAGAAAAGAAACGATTATTCCCTATAACTGGGGTTGAGTGTTGACATTGCGTTGTTCATTTAAGTGACTGCAACACAGTGTCAAAGTTAGGCTATTTGTTAACTAAGGGTATTAAAAAAGCCCTGGGCAGAAACATCTCATACTAAGTGCTACTGATAATTGCACAGTAAATGATCTATGAGCTGCTTACAAAAGTCGAGATGCTTTGGGCAACATTTTTGTTCATTATGAAAAATGTAGGAAGTGTGTGGTGCTAAATAATGGCACCATGACAAATCATCTTTTACAACCTCACAGTATGGAGGGCAACCTCACCATGTAAATGAGACAGGCTTCACCTTAGCCTTTCTGTTACTATATTAAAACTTAAAGCTGTTGCAATATGTAGTTACGCTAGATTTCATACATCTTCACTTTTTCAATATTAAAATATTTATCTAATAACTTTTCTTGAGGGACATTTGATCCATCCACATATTTCAGCCAAGAGTGTCATGCAGCCATGACAAAAACATGAGATGATGTCAAACACACCGAAATTAAACCAAGCACCTTACCATATCATCAGCCAATGTTTTTATGTGTATGTTCTGTTGGAGGGAGGGCACAGTGTGAAAAAACAAGAACCAACGAAAAAAATGAAAGCAGTGCAAAGGTTGAATGTATCCCATCTGACGTGCGATCACATGTACTGTGTTCTCTAGATACTGCCTCGTTTTTCTTTTTAGATTCCAATTTAAATGCACCATTAACAAATACACTTTTGTATATGATACAAAAGGATGTGGTAACAAAAGTCAGAGCCACAGTTAACTCTGGCTTGTTAGTTCTTTTCAAAACCTCCTTTGGATGAAATATGTCCCATGTCCTAATGACCAAAGCGTTTACAGATACATTCCCATGGGAAATTAACTCATCTGGGCCCTGCAAAATTTAACACATATAGTAGCCTGAAAATTAGCAAACAAAGCACTGAATTTGTCAAAGCCAAGAATACTCTAGTTGAATGCTTATTTCTATAGTATTTACAAAATGTTTGTTAAGTAGGTGGCTGTGTGGAGTAATTAGAAACGTAAAATCCAAAGGACTAAGTTTCAGTCAAGCATGGAGGCTTTATTTCCCTTCTTGTCACTGTAGCAGTTAGCTATATCAGGTATAAGTAACAATAATTAAACTCTTAACTGATAGTCCTTCACAGTCAACATTTCCCTTTAATCAACACCCTACACCCACTGAACATACAAGTAGCAAACAGTACACTAGCTAGCTGATTCTTTTCTCATTTGTGCTCCGACAAACACCAGATTTATAACACTCAGTGCATTGTTTTTTGCTAATTTCCAAACTCTAAGTATAATATCTTGGCCAGCGTGAGCATGGACTTCACAGGAAAGCAGCCGCCAAGGCTTTCATCTTTCGGAGGTGGGTGGATTCATCTAATGTCGGTTGAACGAATAACGCAGCCCCGGCCAATTCTCTTTTTTCCTTTTTTTTTTTTCAAATGAGGCTTTAAGCTTATCCTAGATACTATGCAGGTGTAGGGTGTGGCATGAAAAACTTGTATTTTAAAATAAAAAAAGAGTAGTAATGGGTTTTAACTAAAGGGTGTGTTCATGGGTGAAAATCCCAAGTACACACACTTTACCACAAAGCAAACAAACACATCAAATGAATCACAGAGGGCACCTTTAAACCCATAGCCTCGGACATAAGAAGCACACTTGTTCTCAACACCCACTGAAAACATTCAAGTTAGTGCTGCTTGGGTTAAGTTGTTCCTAGGGTAAAGATAATATAAGGCAACAAAGACATTTGTATCAGCCTGCTTCAAACATGTAATGTTTGTCCCCGTAATATGTGTTCTTAAGAGCATCTCTTAAAGTGACAGTGGCCAAAGCTTATCATTGTTGTTCACTTTATTCAATTATATAAACTCCTGTTAATCACTCAAGTTTGTTTGCAAATCGAATCCTTACAAAATGTTACAAAGAGCTCATATAACTTAATTAAAAGCCCAGCTTCTCTCAACAGTTGTTTATCTCCATCTCACACACAATGAGACCGATTTCTGCCAAAGGCTTGTGGCTCAGCGAGGGACAGCCATTTCAAACACACCTCAAATGGGAAGCAGTCGCAACGCTGCCATATGCTGTGGCGCTAGGCTGTGAAGTACTAATGAGTAGGGAGATTTGGGGTGGTGATGGTCATAAAGCCTGCCTCCAGCCGCAGATATCTCCTCTCGTCTAATCAGGGAGCTCCTGATGCTGCAGCGAGTGAACAGACTGGCTCTAACCTGCACCCCACTCTGTGCATCTTCATCAGCTGTCGCTGTGGGCAACACTGAGCAGACACTCAAACTGCCAGATCTATCACTAGTTTTGTCTGCAACAACTGATCAACAGTTGGAAGATAAAAAACTATTAAAGAAAAGAAAATAAACCTCTCTCTGTGTGCAGGCTTCATGTGTTCTCCAAGCTGTTATTTGAAGTCAAGACAACAAACACGGCACACACTCATCCAGCACGACGCATGAAGGCTTCTGAAGTCTGCAGGTATTTGTTTCACTGCCATTATAGTATGTTACATATCTGCACAAGTGGTCCACATTTACACTCTAAAGAATTTAACCTGAGGAACAACTTTCCCCATTTCTCACTCAGAGCACATGTATCATTAAGCCCAGCATTCTCTTGCCGCCTAAAACTGCGTGAAACAATAGCTAATTTTCAAATGGAGTATTTAAACATTTTCTAATCAATTTAACAACAATCAAACCACTGTTTGGTTAATTGCCTTGACTTGAGGGCCTTTCCTTGCCCATTATCTTGGCAACATTGCAACAACGCAATTTAACATCTAACAATTAAGCTTGCATGTCCTCTGGGCTTCTCCGGCTTATTAAAGTAAACTTTTTCATCATAATAAATGTTTATTACCAAGTGCATATTCCTCTAAATAACCTAATCAAATTAGCTCTGGGTCCCTCCTTAATCAAATATGATTATGACTCCGTGTAGATCTATAAAAATGAAAACGCAGAACAATATCCCACATCCTGAGTCATTTTGGGGACACTTTTTTTTTTTTTTTTTTTTAGGCGTGTGCATGTTTTACACACAACCTTTTCAAACGAATATTATAAAATATAATGATTGTAAGTATTACATTAGCCCCTGAAGGGACACATCATTCCCAAGTATTTACGCAAGGTGGACAAAGGAAATAGTTTCCAATTGGCGACCGCTTTTTAATAGCAATGCCTGTTTTCCCGACTCATTTAAGTAGACCATCTGTATGATGTCATTTTAACTCGCGCAGTGGAACTATTGCTATAAAATCAGGAGCCATGATTCCTCTGTAAAACAAGTTTAGAAGGAAATTAGCTTTTACTTTAATTAGTTCTAATAATAACAGAGGATTACTGGGAGACAGCCATGGTTGGCAATGAGGACTGTAATGCAATGTGCTGATGACGGTTCTTGGCAACTTGATGAAACTACCTTGTAGCATCCCTATTAAATCAACAACTCGGTGCAGCTCCAGGCTAGTGAAGGTTAGCTGCACTCACAACTAATTTGAGTGTGGACGAAAAAATAAAATCTTGGTTACTGCCTGGAGAAAATCTTTCATTCGCTGAAGGAGAGCTGCAAGAAATGTAGGAAAACTGTGCAAATCTCACAATAAGCCCCAGACACTTGAAAGTACAGTGTAGTAGTTCAATAGACAAGTTGAGGTTTTACAGAAGAAAATCTGGTGGCCTACATGTGGATTTATATAACACAATCAATAGCTGTTGCTTTAACGTAAATGTAAAAAATAAAATTTTACTGTACGTCCTTATTCCAATCCACACATTTTCTTTGACCCCCGTTGACAAAATCTTTAGAGCAAGAGAACTGAAGCTGACATCACTACCATCACTTATTGCTCAGAAACAAGCAGTTAACTGTTCTAAAGGGTGACTGACAACTCTGAGAAATGTTACCCAAAAATGCAGTACACGAGTTGTCAACTGTACTTACACTTAGTGTTAAAAACAAAAGGAATAGAGACATACAAGAAATAAAAAGGAGTGTAAAGAGTTAACTCACTACCATAGTGGCTAAAGAAGCATACGACGTATGTTCAAAAATGTAATCAGAACATATGGGCCATTAATAAGCAACAAAGTCGGCATTTAATTGGTGTAACTGGTGTTAATTTATGTCCATGAGAGATATTAAGTATAGTGTTGGTGCGTCATATGCAGTGTCACAATGAAAGTGATTATAAAAGGAACTTTGGAGCCTCAGTCAGGACAGACGAGCTAAAAAAAAAAAAAAAAAAAATGCGATAACAGTCACACTGGCACATTGCAGAATGGAGAAATGTGTGTTTCAACACAATTTGTCTGCTGGGATTGGGTGAAAAAAAATTAGAAAGTTAAAAGTATATGACGTGGAAATCACAAACACAACGTGGGAGACTTTGTTTTTGTGGAAACAGTTGTATGTAAGACTTGGTTTGCCAATTCGTTACAGCTTGTAAACATAAAAGCCCCCCGAAGCGTAGTAAAACATAAAAGATGCAGAGACACATGCACTGATGGCAACACAACCTAAATCCTAAAGCTTTTTTTTTTTCCATCAAGACATCTACCAGTCAGCAGAAAAACAGGGTGGTGATGAATGTCAGAAAAAAAGGCTTGCTACAATGTTGAACTCATACATTTGAACTGAATACATTTCAAAAAGTGATGCAGAGTTATGACAGTGCACGTGCAGTCAGCAAAAAGGTATTTTAAATGCTCTTAAATGTAGCTGACATGCCTTTAGATCATGGCATTTCTTTTCATAGATTCATTAAAGACAAAATAACTATTTGTGAATAGAATCCAAAATACATGTGTTTTCCTTGTACAGTACACATCATCACATAAGATGCTACAGCACTGCTTCTTCCGTGCTAAATTTCAAGGGAGTGGTTTCAGAAAGCTCTGCATGCCAATTGAGTAACTGCTTTGGAACTCGTCTAGACTAATCAGTTTGTCCAAATTAATCCTGTTACAAAGACTTGTCAATGGCCGTATTTGTGATCTCACAGAGATTGTGTACTGCACTGCCTTTGCTGTGACCAGGGATTTATTAATGCATGAAAGTAACATTTATCCTTCGTGATAAAATATATTAAATTACTCTGAATGTTTGCAAAGTACCCCTATCAAACAAAAAGGGAGTAAAAAAAAGCCTATAGACAGACTACGACCCAATTCACACCTTTGGTTTTATTTTAAATTCCTCCCTCCTTGAAAGTCTTTATTCAGTAGGAATATATTTGATATAAAAACTGACTTCAGCAGCGAGATAGAAGAACACCTATTCTCTGTGTTTTCTCTCACACTATGCAAATAATTCTTCCTGAATTCCTGTTAAATGACAGTAAACATCTGGTTTCATTTGCACAACAGCCTTGAGACTCATCTTTATTCAAACTTTGTTTGATGTTTTTATCTCTCCCGCTCTAGGGCCTTTACTGAGTTATCTGAACAACTTGGAAAAGTGGAATCCACAACAGGTCTATTTACATCACTTTTTCATTCATTTGTAAGATT